GGGGTGGGTGGGTGGGTTTTGGGGTTTGGGGGTGGAGAGAGTGCGGAGGCGGGTATTTGGGCGGATGGCAGGGTGGGCAGCCGGCTGCTTGGCAACACCTCCCTCGTTCGCTCGCTCGCTGTTTCGCTCCTTCGTTGGTTCGTTCCCGGTACTGCTGGGCCCGGGTTAGTTCCTCCCCCCTCCCCTGACGTAGTCCTTTCACCCCGGGGCTCTCCTCCTCCCCCCCCCCCGTGTGTGTGCATGTGTGTAGTACAGCTCCGTCGTGATTGTCGTAGCTTACCACCGCCGCTGCGGCGGCTCTTACCTTTGTTACCCTCACTTGTCCATGTCCCCCGCTAATACACACACACACACACGCGCACACGCACATACACACACACGCGCGCGTGTATCCCCCCTGCAGGCACTTGGAGCTGTCCCCCCGCGGCGGCTGGGCGCCCCCCTGGCGAGCCCCCTGCCTCGCTGCTGTGGTCCTGGGGGCTCTGCTGGTGGCCCTGCTGGTGTTGTGGCTGCTGGTGTCCCAGGAGCAGCACAACAGGCTGCTGAGGGCTATGTTGCCGGGGAGGGTCATCCGGCAGCTGCAGGTAGGTGGGGGGGGGGAAGGTGTGTATGTGGGGGCCGGGGGGAGAAGAGGGGGTTTTGATGATGGGTTTGATGGGCGCTCTGGGGGGGGAGGGGGAGAAAGGGAAGCGAAAGGAGGGGTTGGGGGAGAGGGGCGCGTTTCCTGTGTGTGTGTGTGTGTGTGTGTGTGTGTGTGTGTGTGTGTGTGTGTGTGTGTGTGTTTTGTGTTTGCTATGCATGGATGGATGCTGGTAGGTCGGTCATTTATTGTGCCGCGAGTTTAAGCCGCGAGTTCGACAACTAACAAGTTACAAGTTTTACAAGTTGCGCACACAAGTGCGGGTGTGTCCGTACAAGCCGGGGGAGGGGCCCATGGACGTTGTATTGGTATTGATGCGGGTATTGACGAGGGAGGTCATCATCATTCTGCCTCGTCAGTGCGAAGCGCCTCAGCGCGACGTGCCTGGCCTCCCAAGTTAACTAACTCTACCGCCATCACGCCCATGATTGTGTTTTTGATTCTCTTTGTTCTTCTTCCCCCACACCGCCGCCAGTTTCGTCACCCTCCGCGACCACCCTCCGTCACCTCGCATCCCCTTTTTTCCTTGTTGCAGGCTGGCGAGGTGCCCATTGCCGAGGAGTACGACACAGTGACGGTGCTTTTCAGTGAGTTTATGTATGTGCGCGTGTATGTATGTATGTATGGATGGATGGATGTGGCTCTGGATTCGGTTTGAATTTCAGAATTTGTTTCATATTAGGATGTTAAGTGCCGTCCTGGCGTCGCGTTTATATTTGGTATGATTTCTTTTTCTTTCTATTTCCGTCATTTCTTTGCCCACTTCTTGCCTTGCCTTGCATTGCTTGCACCTCACCCTCCCCGCCCCTCTCCTCACTCTCCCCGCCCCTCTCCTCACCCTCCCCGCCCCTCTCCTCACCCTCCCCGCCCCTCTCCTCATGCTGCTGGTGCTGCTGCTGCTCGCCGCATCTCCACCGCCCCTCAGGCGACATCGTAAGTACTTCTGGTGTGTCTTGAATCCAGATCCAGCCAGGACCCATCACAAAATCCAAGATTCAGGATCCAGAACTCAGCCCCCCTCAGCCTTTTGGACTCCCTCTCATTCAGCAGTTGCTGTGTTCTTGACCCCCCCTGGCCCCAACATCCCCAACACACACACACACACACGCACGTGT